GGCTTCCAGTACTGTTTCAAACTCTACAGAATCAAAAGCCTTCTCGTAATCTATAAATGTAAGAACCATTGGTACATTGTACTGGATGCACTTTTCTATTAAGCTCTTGATGGTATGCAAATGGTCATTTGTGCCATATCCTGCCCTGAAGCCTGTCTGTTCTTTGGGTTAAACAGTTCGCTTACTGATTTTAATAGAATTTCTCCTCCTGCTTTTATTGTCTCAATAACGAGTCCATCATCACCAGGCGATCGATGGTTCTTCATTTCCTTTAAAACCCTAACACAACATGGTATAGACCATAACACGGTGGCCTTTATTAAAAAACTAAATATAATAGAATACGCGTATACCTTACAGACTATCCATTTAGCTGTCTTGTCGTATTCTATCAATTTTTTATATAGATCGCTTACCTCTCTACCCAGTGATATTGTCATCAATTTGTTCCAGCAGTGTATGAGCTTTTTTAATCATTAAGTTATGTTTTATGCTACCATTTTGTTAGTGAAAGTAATTATTGTGTGATTATTATAACAGATATTGACAATTTATTGATTTTTAATTTTATCTCTTTGGTCCTACTTCTAATACTTAATAAAGCCAAACTGTTGTCCCAAAACTACATACGAGGCATGTCCCAAAAGTATACGAACTTCGCTCATAATTTGGTGCTACTTCAGATGCTCCCATCGGTGCTTTAAGCCAATGAAGGCTAATGACGTACGAAAAAATCGCAAGGTGTCGGGACTTACCGGATGCTCGCGAAATTATGTAATCATGTGTTTTGCCAAAAACATGTGTCTATGAAAAAACTTTCCGGTTATCGTGTTTAAGAAACCAGTAGTCCAAAAATAGAGCTGTTTTCTTTTCACTCCATCGCGCAAACTTGTTAGAACTTTAAAATAAAAATATTGATTGTTGTAGTTTCCGCAAGACTTCTTTTGAGTTTATAGCAAAACTTAATCAAAACTTGTTGCTCGCGAAGTAAAATGCGACAAGCACAAAAAGACAATGTAAACAAAAGTATCTAATAACGAAATGACGCTTTCCTTTGGTAAACGTTGCCGAAGATTTACTGATTTCAATACGGTCGTACCCCACAGAGGACGCGTATATTGTTCAGTAGTTTAATTTCATAGGTAATAATAAAAGTATTTTTTATCAAGTATATCTCAAGTCATGTAACAATAAAATACTGAAAACTTTGTTTTCAAAACTTTCAAAAAATTTATTATAAAATCTTATGACTACTAGTGTGTTTCTTAAGTGATCTATTTTTGGTATGCGTTTACAATTTATAGTCTCTAATGAAATAGGTTGAAGAGGGGAGAACTGTTTGTCTCAAGTTGGTCATTCAGAATTATATCTGTGTTTTTTAATATCTGTGTTAATTTTCATAGATTCTAACAAAGATAGCGCCTTTTTGAATGTGAAGAATTTGAAATTCGTCACTAAAAGAATGATTATGATCTAGAAGGTAAACATAGAAGAGCGTATGTAGAAACTGTTGCCCTTTTCAAGCCCTTTTATGTTCTGCTATTCGTTATTAAAATTTCTACCAGTTTGACCGATATAAGTTTTGGGCAGACGCCACATTTAAGTTTGTATACACCACTGTGTAAGTGCTTTTTATTTTGGCTCTTGTCTTTTTATAATACTATATTTGCCTAAGTTGTTGTTTGTTCTGAAAGTTGGTGTTATTACTTTCTTTTTTATGTGTTTGGCTATTTTTGTTGATATTTTGCCTGTATATGTAATCGAGCAGAAGGTACTGATTTTTTTCTCTGATGGTGGAAATACTAATTTCAGGACTTTCTTGTGAAGTTTTTTATTTAAAATTTTATTAATTGTTTGTTCGTTGTATCCAAAGTTGTATTTTGACATCGGAATTTCTGTTAATCAGTTGCCTGTTAGTTCCTGTGAAATATACCAGTACGTCGTCTACGTATCTCCACCAATATAAAAACTGAATATGGGATGTTTTGAAATCTTTGTCTCTAGATGATCCATAAAAATATCTGATAGCAATGGGCTTAGAGGATTGCCCATTATAAGTTACTGTTATTTGTATATATTTGATTATTAAATTCATAGTAGTCCTGGTATATGGAAATTTCAAGATGTAAAATTTCCGATGTAATGATTGGATTTGTAATATTTTGGTGTAAAAGGTTTTTTACTAGAATAAAATTTTCTGTAGCAGGAATACTAGGAAAAAGATTTTGTACGTCAAATGAAATTAATCTGGAGTTGTTAAGTAATTGAAAATATTATATTTTATTAACTAGTTCTATTGTATTTTTATGGTTAATTTAGTGTGTTCTAAAATAATCTCTAACAGTTTTTTTAAGTTTATATGACGGAGCTATATAAAAAGGAACTACAGGTCTTATTGGGTGATCCGGTATGTGTAGTTTAATAAAAGAATATAATTTAGTAAGCTGTGGTCTCATGATATTGAAGTATTTCTGTTCTGTTCGATTTAATATTTCAGAACAAACAACAAGTTAGGCAAATATATTAAAATCAACAAGAGTCAAAATAAAAAGCACTTACACAATGGTGTTTACAAACAAATGTGGCGACTGCCCAAAAACTTACATCGGTGATACTGGTAGAAATTTTAATAAACGAATAGCAGAACATAAAAGGGCTTTCAATAATAGAAAAACAGATTCTACATACGCACTTCATCTTCTAGATCATAATCATTCTTTTAATGACGAATTTCAAATTTTTCACATTCAAAATAAAGGCCTTAAGCTATCTTTGTTAGAATCTATGGAAATCAACAAATTAAAAAACACATATAATTCTGAATGAATAGTATAAAGAACAAAGAAGGTACAGAGACCAATAATGTAGAAGAAATTATACAAATAACACAAGAATATTATAAAAACCTCTACAATACAAAACAGAAACCAACCCAAGAAATCCTTAAGCAACTACAAATAAAAATAAAAAATGTTAATTCCGACTTACAACCAGAGATCAGTAAGAACGAGATAAGAAGAGCACTCAAAGAGATGAAGAACAATAAATCGCCAGGAAAAGACGGGGTGACTGTAGAAATGCTAAAACATGGTGGGAAAACAACTAGAGAAGTTTTGTACATACTTATGAATAAAATTTTAATGACAAAACAAATACCCAACAGTTGGAACGAAGCAATAACACTGTTACTATTTAAGAAAGGAGATAAAAAGGATCTAAAGAATTACAGACCCATAACTTTATTAAATGTGATGTACAAATTATTAACCAAAATATTAACAAATAGATTAACAACTAAATTAGATGGATACCAGGCAAGAGAACAAGCCGGATTTAGAAAGAGCTTCAGTACAAGTGACCACCTATACCATATATCATATAATATCATATCCCGCTATACACGGCATTTATTGACTTTGAGAAGGCATTTGATAGTGTGGAACACTGGGCAGTACAGAATTCCCTACAAAACAGCAGAATAGACTACCGATATACCGACTTAATTACAAATATATACAACAAGGCAACAACAACTATTAAGCTAATGAAACAAACGGAGCCTATTAAAATAAACCGAGGAGTAAGACAAGGAGATACCATCTCGCCCAAGTTATTTAACCAAGCGCTAGAAGATGTTTTTAAACGACTACACTGGGATGACTTGGGAAATAATATAAACGGGCAAAATCTGAATCATTTACGATATGCTGATGATATTGTATTAATAACAGAAAAAAGTGAAGAATTACAAAGAATGATGGAATAACTAGATAGAGAATCGACAAAAATTGGACTCAAGATGAATTATAGTAAAACAAAAACCATGACTAATCAACCAGAAGAACTTATAATTACAGTGGCACAAACAAAAATAGAACAAGTAAAAGAGTATATATATCTAGGCCAAATCACTAAATTAAATAAAGAAAATCAGACCGAAGAAATAAAGAGAAGAATAAGATTGGCCTGGGCATCATTCGGAAAACTGTCTTATATTCTAAAGAATTCAATATACCCCCAATACTTAAAAACCGAGAGTCTTCAATCAATGTATACTCCCTGTCCTCACATATGGCTCTCAGACATGGACGTTTACAAAGAAAAATATGGAAAAAATAGCAAAGACAGAAAGATCCATGGAAAGACAAATGCTGAACATTAAACTATCAGACAAAAAAAAGAAACGAATGGATCCGTAATAAAACAAAAGTGAAAGATGTCTCAACCCAAGTAGCAAAGCTTAAATGGAAGTTCGCCGGACACACCCTAAGGCAGAAAGATGAAAGATGGACTAAAACAATTATACATTGGAGACCATGGAATCACAAACGTAAAAGGGGAAGGCCACAAATGCAATGGTCAGATGACCTGAAGAAACACGCCGGGTCAAAATGGATGCAAATTGCCCAAGATAGAGAGGCATGGAAGAAGGAGGAGGAGGCCTATATCCAAGGATGGATGTTAAGGGCTGTATAGATAGATAGAATTCTGAATGAAACTTGAGACAAACAGTTCTCCCCTCCTCAACCTATTTCATTAAAGACTATAAAGTGTAAACACATGCCAAAAATAGATCACTTGAGAAAGGTACTCTGCCGAAACAGCTGTAGTGATAAGATTATATATAATAAATTTTTGTGGAAGTTTTGGAAACAAACTTTGCAGTATTTTATTGTTACATAAAATGAATTTCCATCAAGTAACGGTCGAATCTATCAATCAAATATCTCAAGTCGTTATCTATCGGTAAATGAATTTCTAACTTAATTTTAAGTTTCTTATAATATTACACACCCCATGTATTAAAAGTTTTATTTACACCACATACTCTTAACTAACTCAATAAACGTAAACAATACATACTTGTTTTACACAACCGAACAATTATATTACATATTTTTTTCCTAAAAGGAATCCAAACATTTTCATATTTTAATTGTAATGATTGAAACCAAAATTTTTTCCAAAGTACAAAATTTTAATGAATTATATTTTCTTAGAGTTTCAGCAAACATCTCAAGGTAAAGTAGTCCCCAAAATTTTTTCCTATTGGCATGAGTAGATACAAAATTTTAAATTTTCGAATTATATTTTGCATCAATGTATTAAAACGGTTTACAGACCTCATATGACCAGAACAGGCCTGTTGTAGAGTAGACGGGTTAATTTAGATATTTATGATTTGGTATTTTTTATATTTTGGTGCTTAAGGTGTATTGTGACCTTATTGTTATTGTATATTTAAACTATGTTATATTAATTGGGTTCGTCCTAAGAATTACTGACTTTGACACGAAACTTTTCACTCAATTCAATGTTGATTTTAAACTGTATCAAATTAAATAAAATATATTTTAATTAAGGATACGGATCCAAATTAAACATGTCAACACGAAGAGATATGTGCCCATGATGAATGATTATACATAGTAGCACATAAAAAATTTTCAAGTTCAATCAGAAAGCTTTTGCAGATACTGCTTCTTTGGTCAATTTTATTGTTTTCAGGTGTCAAAAAAACCGAACATATTCCTAGTGTTTGTGAAAACGTACATTTTCTCCAAAAAGCTTGTAATCGGTAAAAATTCTTCTGAACTTTTTCACAGATGCATACAGTAAATATGCGGAAAGGTCTGAACGAACTCTTCTTTCACACCCTAAGTTCGCGTTGTTCTAAAATCTATTAGGCAATCATACATCACTCATTAAGAGTTAGTTATCTCAGAAAATAATCGGATTTAAAATCTGAAAATTTACACTTCCGCATAACTGCATCACTTCCGGTAAAACCGGAAGTCGTCATCAACTTTATTATTTTCAATGGAGCACTCTAATATATCAAATATTAGTTAAATTAGATTTAATTAAGTAAGTAGTATTGACAAACAGAAGGCCATAATTCCAAAGGACAATAAGTCAATAAATGTGGATGAAAATATACTGTAATTTTATTACTAATAATATTAACGTAAAGAAATGAGTTGTCTTTCGAACAATATTAAGGTTCCCTATACCTAAAGTTAATATTTCTGGAGTTAACAATGGTTTACTGTTTATGTTTATGTTTACTGGTATGTCTCATTTATTTTCAAACTGAATTAAAAAACAAAGGTTGCAATTACAAAAAAAATTGTACAAATCGTAAAACAAATATCACGAAAGTATATTCCTAGAGGTTGCCGAACCGAATACATAGCGGGGCTAAATGAAGAATCTAAACTCCTACTTAAAAGATACGAGCGGCTATATGAAGACGATCCCTTTTCGGAAACAACAATACAGGCCAGCGTTACCAGACCTAAATAGGGAATTTTCCCTATACCTAGCGAATTTTGAGCCAGCTTAGGGAAAAGGGATTTTTATTCAATTCTATGAAAAATCTAGGGAATTCTTAATATTTGTAAAAATATTTTAAAAAATCAGTTTTATTTAATAAAGTTTCCAAAATTGCACATATTATATTATCTACTTGGAAATCATACTATTCGTGGAATCACTAAATTCTGTTTATGTGATTTCCCGTCGGAAACTAGAGTGGTGAAATTTCACGAACTGCGAATTACGTCGAGGATCTACCTGGGCAGTATGTATTGGCGTCGCCCATCGGGTAATTTTTGGTTTCTAGTTTGTCTTTCTCTAACTGTTTATGTCATTCCCCGTCGATGACTAGAGTGGTGGTATTTCACAAAGGGCGAATTACGTCAGGGATCCACCTGGAATAAAATTTCTTAATACTTTGATATTCTTACAATTCTTACCATAAATACAACTATAAAACACTTGTGCAGAAGGGGCAAAAATAATTATATTAAAAACATATGTGTACAACTAGAGGAACATGCTGACCGCCAAGAACCTAGAGAACTTTTCTCAAAAGTCAAGTATCTAGCGAGAGAATTCAAACCGCAAAGATCGTCAAAGATAATAGTGGAAATATCATAAAAACCCCAGACGGCCTCGCAGAGGTGTGGAAACAATAATGCGAGATACTATTTTCTAACAACGACCGAGACAATAATACAGAGAAAATAAGTTATGAAAAAGAACCTCAAATATTGAAATCAGAAATTGAGGTGGCAGTTAAAAAGCTTAAATCCAGAAAAGCAGAAGAAGAAGATGGAATAACAGCTGAAACACTAAAAGACATGGGAGAATTAGGGACGGAAGTAATGCTTAGAATTTGCAATGAGATTTGGAATACCGAAAAGTAGACAAATGACTGGGGTAAACTTGCGTTTATTCCCATATATAAAAAAAAAGGTTTACCGACAGCTGATTGCAGTAATTACCGCACAGTAGCATTGATATCACACGCGAGCAAATAACTTCTAACCATCATTAATGAAAGACTAAAATTAATTCCCTTACCACAAATTCCCCAAGAACAATGCGGATTCGTCCCAGGTAGAGAAACAAGAGAACATATTCTAAATATTCGTCAAATTATCGAAAAATCTCGAGATTGCTTTGTTGACTATTCCAAAGCCTTCGATACCGTAAAATGTAATAAAATGTGGCATACACTTAGTGAAATGAGTACTGCAGAATATCTTATCTATTTATTACAAAAACTATAGGTAAATAATACCTTCTAATGTAAGAGTTAATAATGTGATTTCGAAAAACATCAAATTAAAATCTGGAATTCAACAGGGATGCACAATATGCTCTATTCTATTCAATGTGTATAGTGAACATACGCGTCAAGTTGTTGAGGAAAGTGGCAAGGTAAGGTGAAGCAACGATAGGAGGAAGAAAAATTAAAAACCTGCGTTATGCTGATGACACTGTTATCGTCATCACCAGAAGAACTGGAACAAATTATGAATAGGCTAGGCACGGTGAGTACGGAATATAGTTTGAAAATAAATATGAAGAAAAGCAAAGTGATGATCATCGATAGAATCAGAAACAACCAAGCAGAGATAAAAAACATAGCAGGTTACGAAGTAGTCAGGCAATTTAATTACTTAGGCTTGTTTATTACTAACAGTGGAGGATGCGAAGACGAGATCCGTCGACGCATCACAATGGTCACATCGGCAACAGCTAAACTCACAAAAATTTGGAAGAACACTGGCATCACAAAAAATACAAAATTACGCCTTGTTCGAGCATTGATATTTCCTATCGCCACCTATGCTTTAGAAACTTATTACAACAATAACAAAATAACGACATAATATTATGACAATAACAAAAGTGGGCCTTTGAAATGTGGGTCTACCGTAGAATGTTGCGCATACCATGGACCGCTTATCGCACAAACTCAATTCTAGCAGAACTTAACATAAAATTAGACTAATCACAACTATCAACCCAAATATACTGAGATATTTTGGACATATTACTAGAAGAAGAGAAGGCATAGAGCAAATGATAGTTGAAGGTAACGTAGGGGGTAAAAGATCCAGAGGAAGATCTCCAGTACGATGGTCGGACCAAATAAAAGAGATGACTGGTTATTCATTCTCCGAAGCAAAACAACGCACAGGAAAGAGATAATTGGACAAAAATTATTTAAAAAAATTACATGACGCCACTATATCCTTACGAAGGAGAAAAGTTTGAGAAGGATTCTTACCTCACAAATTCACGAACAACAAATAATACCAATCGCACATAATGAATGTTCATAACCAAAAGTCGTTATTTATTCTACAAACAATCAAAATACCAATATTTCCAACTTCTTATGTGACCAATAAACTCAAATTAGAAATGTTTGGAAAGGTTTTTTAAAATCCCGCTCATTCTGACGTCAGACTTAGGTGGTCCATTCTAGGCTAAATATGGTTGTCAAGTTGTTAGGGAAATCTAGGGAAATTCTGGCAAAAATTCTAGGGAAAGAAAAAAAATCATCTGGCAACCCTGATACAGGCCGGGGAGGAGTGCTACATGCGATCTCCTCTAACAGAACGCACAGGTGGAGCAAGATGGTCACAAGCCTAGACATGAAACAAAACAGCAGACGCGCTTGGAAATTAATTCGGAATCTTGGCAACAATCCTGCCGCTCCGGCACCCAATCTAACAAAAGTCACAGTCGATCAGACAGCCCATCGTCTGCTGACAAATGGTAAGACGATATCAAGGAAGAACAAAGCGAGAATACAACGAAATATCGGCGAAGAAGAGGATGTTCTAGATACTTCCTTTTGCCTGGAGGAGATCAGAGGTGCAATCCACCAAATGAAAGATAATAAAGCGGCTGGCCTAGACGATATACGAACAGAACAAATAAAGCACTTTGGACCAAAAACCCTAGAGTGGCTCGCAAAAATGACGAACTGTTGCGTCCGTACATTCCAAATCCCCAAAATCTGGAGAAAATCCCCAAAAGTTCTTCATTTGTGCTAATTTCTGGTGTTTTCAGTTATAGCGTCGTTTGTTCTTCCTCTCCATATAGCTTTTTTAGGTAGTCAATCCACGTATATTTTTGTATTGATGTACAGATTGGAGTTAAATAAAAAAAATACTTAGATGAGATACATTTTAATGTATTACTTGTGGCGAGTACAACAAAAGCATTGTCCGAAGCATCTTTCTTCACAGTTTTTAACATCTAGCTAAAAATACAACATATAGAGTGCTCCATTAACAACGACAAATATGATTGCGTCTGCCGCGTTTCGCATGATGGTTTTCCAAGAGCTGTAAATTATAATATACGTGTCAGCTACCGGTATGCGGAAGTGCAAATTTCAAGACAAATTCCTATTATTTTCGGAGATAAATTTAATATGCGATCTACGTGAAACACGCAATATGAACTGCGGTAAAGAATTCAGCTATGTCCGTTACACAATTAATATTATTTTCCAAAGCAGACCAAATAGACATTAATAATGGTTTCAAAAAATGGAAAATACTTTTTTATAAAAAATGACGTAGTACCGAAAAATATCACATTATATAGTAGCGTAACATTTTATAATATTTATGTGTCAAAACAAAAATTCTTAAACGAAGTTGGTTACAGAAAATATACATAATACATCTAGACAAAATAATTTTAAAAA